ATTTCCTGGTGGTGTCCAGTTGATGCTGGTGGGAGCCAGAGACCATTGACCTGAAACCACATCCTGAGAGGGGCAGACCAAATGTGTAAAGCAGGTAGGACATGATAGGGCAGTGCCAACGCTCAACATGGAGGATCATTGAGAAGATAAGTCACAAACTGACGACTGGCTAGTTACAGGCTTGCAAACATTCCTACATATATGAGAGTATAAATACAAGGAGAGAAGTGCCTGGATGCTCTGGGTTGTCCTGAGCCTTTGCCAAGCAGTTCAACTGAGGAGTAGGGTTTGGATTAGTGGGATGTTTTCAGCAGAGAAGTTTATGGCTACAGGCAGACCTAAAGGTATCCATCTTCAGCTTTCAGTGGTTTTGTTTGAGACTATTACTCAGACTTTAGATTTTTCTCTGACCTTCATTGATACCCTGAGTAGATGGTTTGGGGCCAGCATCCTGGTTAAGAGCCCTTTTTTGGGAGGGTAACCTGGAAGAACCTCACTAAGAAAGCACTAGGAGAAAGATAAGATTCACATAGTCAGTCACCAATCTTCGTTTTGCTCCAGATACCACTATTGAAAAATCAGTAGATTAAAAAGCTTCTCTCATTCAGGGAAGGATACAGAGAGATTCCAGACAAACCTGTATCAACTACTTTTCCTTGTGAAAAAAGCTTCCTCTACATTATCTATTTCAGCCTCTGCAAGCACAGAATATACAGGAAAGAGCAGAGTGCAATGAGTCCTACACCTGATCTTACTTTAAAGGCAGAGGAAGGGAATCCAAAGGGACTGTGAAGAACAAATATCAAGAAATAGATGAAGTGTAGAGAAAAGAGGTGGTAGGAAACTGCAAAAAACACCAGCCTGAGCAATAACATACAGGTGAAGACGCTTACCCTTGGACACCCACACAGCAGAGGATTGCTGGAGAGGAGACAGCACATTTGTGTGAGCTCTGAGTTCCTCTGCCCCAATTCTCTGGGGTTACAAGAGGATAAAACCAGTAGGAGTAGGCACCATTTAAGACCACAAAGGTATGTGTTAATGCCAGGCAGCACTGACCTCAGGTTAGATAAAGCAGGAGTGGAGTAAGAATCCCTGAGAAGTCTGCAAAAATAATAAACATCACATCATTTAAACAACGTGCCCCTTCTCTGGCCAATACACCAGCTAGAACAGAGACAGTAGAACCTCCTCACCCTTACCATGAACTGCATGGTGACACTTCCAGGAATGAGATAAACCTGCCAGATTCCTCCAGATCCCTGTTTCCTAACCGAAACTAACATGGGAGAGTAAGTGAGAGCTGGAGATACTCACAGCCAAGGGGAGAACTGCTATAAAATGGCACTAGTAGGTACTGTAAACTGGCGCCTGGCCTGCAAGCATTAGTGAAATGTTTAGTAACAATACTTAACTCTGTTAGGTCTGAGTATCTCTTTTGACTAAAATGTTACAAATCTTACTGTATAAATGAGTCACTATATTTGTTTCTACTGGGTAAACTATATACATCGTTGTAAGAAAAGAACCATAATTAAATTAAGGGAGGAGAGAAAAGGACAAACAAAATATTAGTAAATAAAATAGAAGACATATGTTCAGTAATACTTTTCAGGCAATACTTTTGCTTGTTACATTTACTATAAGGAGGGGAAAAAATCTTCCACTCAAAATAAACATTGGAATCAGAGCTGCCCAAACATCAGTCATTGGCCGTCTCCAGAGCACCCAAAGGCCACTGTGGTGGGTTCAGGGGTGTCTCTGCTCTCTGAAGAAGTGGCCATTGATACAGCTCAAGGTGATTTTGGCACTGCAGAGGAGCCCCGAGTGTCCAGGGGGCTGCCAATGCCACTAGTGTGTTAAACCTGAGCCATTGAGCTCTGCTTTCATGTCATCTCTCAGCATGCTGATAGGTGATGTTGAGAGGCAGAAGGGGCCCTGGCTGCATCTGCTTGGGTCCCATTTAGGAAGCATGCTCCGTGTTCCTCTGGTCTTGGAGAAGCATCTACCGTCCATCCTCGATGAAGTGGAGAGGTGACACTTTACTCTTAAGGTCTCGGAAGCAGACCATTCACCCAGCAGTGTTTCCCATTCCTTTTCCAAACACAGAGCATACTTGCAGGGTCTTTCCCTGTATGTAGTTAGTTAAAAGTTTATAAGCGATGTTGTCATTTTCTTCTCCTGCAGAAGAAGGCACAATAACAAACCCTCTCACACTGCTGCCATTACCAACAGAGCCAGACAAACTGTTTGCACCTCTTTGCTTTTTGCCATATGAATAAATTATTCCCAAAGGAAGCGATTGATTCTTCGATCAGAGCTATAGATAGTTCAGTTCCTGCTTGATGAAAAACTGATCCAGTGAGCAAAATGGGGCTCATCCCATGAATTCCTTCCCAGTAGTTTCTTCTGTTAAAGAACCAGTTCTACTACTACATAGGTATTGAAATACAAAGAAGTGCAAAAATGACCATAAAGCAAGTACAGAGCAAGTCCACTATGAACAAGTGAGTTACTGCAAGTGATTTCCTTCATACATATTTTCTGAAGGTAAGGAGCAGGAGAAGTGCAGTGTCCAAGGACCCCTACTTCAGGTGCTGTAGTGTTCACAGTTAACATGGAATGGGGTTTGGAGATTTGCTTCCCCGTTTGATAATACCTGAGGCTTGTTTGTGTTTACTTCAGTGTAGCCAACTGTAACCCATCATCCATAAGTGTTCTTTTTGCCAAGGGAACAGAATTCTTTTGCAAGTGTTTTTTTGTTTGTTTTTTTTTTTCTGTAGTTTGGAATAATGAAGAAAAATTCTTTTTCTCTGAAGAAGTCAAAACAGTGTCAAATAGAAGAAGAAAAGCAAAAAGGTGCAAAGACCTTGGAAGAAACTGTACAGGGTTATTTATATATCTGGGTTTATGGCTTAGGAGGTTATAGCTGTGACTGTCAATGAGCATCTCTCCATCTTTGCTTGCAACCTAGAAACTTCTTCCCTTCCTCGACTTCTAAAGTCAACTTTTTTGTGTTGTGGTTTAAATGACAAGGGTGATCTGCTTATTTTTGGAGTAGTTGTGAGTATGCATGGGGTCTGCATGGGACCAAGACTTGCAGTTTAGCATGGGCTAGCATTCCCAGGGTTACACTGTTGGGATATGCTGCAGAATCCAAAGGAAATCCCTTTTTCTTTAATTTAATTTGTTTTTTTAGTAAATAGTGTGTGTGCAAAAAGGAAACAAAAATGCTGCTGCCCTGCTGGTGCCAAGGGTGTCTGTGCATTTATGCTTACACACATTCACATGAACATGTGCATATGCACTGGGAAATTCTGGCTATTTAAGCTTAAGAAGGTTCTTAAGGCAGTGATTTTGCCTTGCAATCATTATGCATGCATCTCCATCAAGGTGCCCTATTGCATGTATGCTAAATAAATTGCTATTTGAACAAGGAGAAAACACAGGGAAACGGATTTAACCACATTGTATTCCCTGATGGCCCAAAAGACCAGCCTCCTTCTTGATACATGGGTGCTGTCTGCTTTCTCAGTGCCATAGCATTTTCAGGTATGCATCCTATAAGCAATGGAAATCATTAAATCACAAATTGTAACCAAAATATTTGGGATTTCAAAATATTTCAGTAACATTTCCAGAAGCGGAGATCCCAGGTCAAGGATGATGCTTCGGGTTTGGATTTTCTCCCAAACCTGGCTGTTGTTTTCCTTTGATCCTTTACACCATCGTACGCAACAGTCCTTGCAGGAAGTGTGCAGGACCAGGAGGATAAATCTGGTTTTGACCACAGGCTTGACATGACTCTTGGTGACTCTTATGGAGTAAAATGTGAATGAAGGAACTTGTAAATGTGAAGATGCCAGTGAGCAGTCCCAGCTAGGGCAGGAAGGAGCAGAAGCAGTTCTGGGTTACAGCTCCTCTTGTGATTCTGATAGAATGTTAATTTACCTCATATGTTGCAATAGGCCTTTGAAGATAGGAAAGAAGATGCTCTTAAAACGTTTCTCTTCACATCAGAGATGTGCCAGAAGAAACATGTGAACCATTGTGCTGTCAGATTTCCCTCCTGGTTTTACCCAGCCTCTCTATCCAGGCATGGAGGCATGAAAGAATCCAATGTGAGTGAGGAACAAGATGCCCGGAGTTGGGCTGGTTACACTGGAGGGGCCGAGTAGTGAATGACAGAATTGTAATCTGGAGGTGGGCTGTGGCATTCCAGGTTTGGATCCATAGGGAGGAGAACAGAGTCTTCCAGTGTGAAGTCCATGGTGTCCTCTTCTACCTGAACCGCTGGCTGGTATTTGACAGCCTCGTGGTCAGATAAAATGGATTCTTTGCTCTTGCTAACAGCTCTCCTCCTGTTGGGAACAAACAGTAGATATATGGACCCTGTCTCCATAGGGTTTTGTCTCTATGTGTAATTTATGGTCAAAATTAATATTAAAAATAAATATATAAAGCATTTCAAGTTACCTTTGCGGCATCCTGTAAGGCAGCGACATTTTACAGATGAATAAGGGAACTGAATTAGGTAATTTAAATAACTCAGTGTTGTAAAAGTAGATTTAAGAGTAAATCCGGAAGTCCTGTTGCCCTGTCTGTTTAGCTTACCACATTTCAGTGCACTACATATATATCTTAGATATAAATGCACCTGTCTTGTGCATACACTGATATTCTCTGTCATTGTTCTGACACAGGTCAGTAGAAATTCGACTTCTCTGAAAGTAGAACTGAAGGCTATGACTTTTCTTTAAGTATAATAAAGGATGAAATCATCTATGACAGACTCTAATTTAAAACGATACCAAAAGCAAGAGTGTGTTAAACACTCTCTTGCAGGGTAGGGCAAAATCTCTCTTATATCCTTTATCCCTTTAACATCACTGAGGAGTACAGTAGCAGAGGGCAGCACTTTCCAGCACTTCAGCTGCTGGCCTGTGACTGATGCTGTTACAGAACCAGCTTTCATTTTCTGCTGTCTTCCCTTATTATAGGTGATGAAGGCAGTGGGAGATCAGCAACTTCCATCACATGGAGCAACTTCAATGTTAAAAGTAGGAGAAGCCTGGAGGGGATTTGTATCACAAGGTGACCTTGAGGAGCAGCAAGTGTTGTGGAGACAAAAAAAGGTACTTTCTGTCACAGACTGCCTAAAAGTACTGTTCTGTTAAGCCTGGTTTCTTCCATCAGAGGAATTCATTGGAAGAGGTCTGGATAGTGGGTAGTTTAAGGCTGGTTCTCAAGAATACCAATGTGAGAATGGCTTCTCCACTTTGCTCAGGACCCTTTAACAAGCATCTCTTTGGAACCAGCCTTACTTATGGGCTGATGGTGGCAGAACTCATGTCTCAGTCTCAGTTCAGTGACTTACAGTGTGCCTGGGAGAGTTTAAAATCAGGCGCTGTATGTGTATTTCATGCATGTTCTAATGACCCCAACCTAATCTGAACAATCAGCACCTCATCAAATAGTTGTATAATTCATTACACTGATTTTATTTGTACTGCTGCAGTGCTTAATTTCCCAGCACTTAATGGTGGATTCAGAGTGTGGTGCTTTAGAAAGAAAGCAAAGCCAGTTCCTGCTCCAGGAAACCAAACAATAGCTAAGAGACAGATACAGCAGTTGGAGGAAGGGGAAGAGAACTTCATCACAAATGTGGCACATTCTGCTTTGCGTTCACCATTTAGACTTTGCCTCTTCATCCAGAGAAAAATGGGAGTGGAAACTTCTTCTGTACACTGTACGTTTGGCAGCTCTCCCTTTCTATACACACACAGTTTCTCTGTAGAGAAATTCTTCCCTGGCACAAGCAAATGAACCACAGCTTTGATTCACTGTTTATTTATGTATTTTTCTTTTTGTTGCTCACTTCTATTGACTCGTGTCAGACCATTCCATGGATGCTCTGGCTTCGCATTTGTGAGGTATTAAAGTTGTTAGTGGAGACTGAGGAGCTTGAAAGTATCTGTTTAACTTGGGCCCCAGCCTGCATATCTCAGGGTGCTGGGGAAGGAGAAATGTTATTAGGGTTTAGGTTGGCCACACAATGGGAAATGTTCAGACCCACCTAGACTCCCAGCAAGTGTTCCTGATAGGTCTCTGCCCCTGTAGGTCAGGGGACTGGATATCTGGGAAGAACGGCCTATCCCTGAAATCAGGCTGGTGTTTGAAGAAGGATTCTTAAATGCGACGTCTAGTATTTGCTCTAAAGACAGAAAGCTGATGAGTTAGGTCAGAATCAAGTTTTGTCATTAGGTCATGGCAGACCAAAATGCAGTTAACTGCCAGAACTATTCCTTTCATCTAAATGCATTTCCTAAATTAAAGCTATCCAGGGGTCCTTGCAATTTTCCCTTCAACGCTCTATATTAATGGTACTTCAGTCTACTCTGTTCATGCTCAGCAACAGAGAAATGTATATATGCTTAGACTGTATATTGGAAAATGAGACTGCAGCATCCATTTTCTGTCTGTCCTTGAAATCTCATTTGCTACCTAGACATTGCCACACTGAATCAGGCACCAGCCTGGCCTGCGCTGGTGGCCAGCACTTGATGCTCCAGAGCGAAGCAAACCTCTATGCTCTGAGCCAAGTGTACCACCCATATAAGAGAGAAGAATTCTCCCTGAACCCCACTGATAAACACTCTCTGACTGAAGGCATTAGATGTGATTAATCACACAATTATGCAGCTCCAGAAGTTCATAGTGGTTGTGTAATTAACTAATTTCATTAAAAGCAGGCCGTGGCTTGCTTCAGTGCTTCTCCACTGCCCCAAAAGGTGTTCCTTTACTAATTTGCCTCTGCCTGACGTGTGAGTACTGCAGCTGCAGGAGGTGATAAAGGAGATGTTCAGTTTTGATAAATCTGCTCATAACCACGAGTTTCTCAGCCCAGTCCCACAGAGAATACCAGTGGCTGTTTGTGTTCTCAGCACGGCACAATACTGAACATCAGGCATGTGAGTACTGTGACTTTCAGCTGCTCACTGACCCAAACTGGTCATATTTTGGACCCCAACCAACCTGAAAACTCATTTGTCCTTGCAAGAATATGTATGTTTGGGGCAGGATAAAGGGAAAGATGAGAATCTGAATGCTGCCACTGTGTTTGTGCCTGTATGGGGACACAATATAGCTAGGAGGTCTTGGACATGAGCTTGAACAAGTGTGGTTGAGTGTGATACTGTGGGTAGTGAGGGCTTTTAACAGTTCCCATTTTTACTGTGCTATGTCAGATGAAGCTGAAAAGTCAAGGAGTTAAACCAAAGGAAGAGAATTTTAGCCTGAATATGAAGTAATCTTTCAGTCTTTTTTAAGTTTTCTGAAGAGGTGTCAAAGCTGGTTAGAAGATACCACAGGATAATCCTGTGATAGCTGGAAGGCCCAAATGACCTAATAAGACTTCATCCTACTGTATGAACCAGGAGTTTTGGTTAGAGGTAGAAAACCACTGAGAGCTGGGAAATCATTACTGGAGCTGTTGATTTTATGTGAGAGGGAGCCAGTTTCTATTAGCCTGAATCTTAGGGTCAATGACTTGAAGAGGAACGTGGAGAAAGAGAGATGACTGTAAGAAAATCACCCTTTCAGTGAGGGACTGGAATGCCAAGTCTAGCGCTTATTCCCAGAGCTGTGGAGCAGCTCTTACTGCTTTGCAGGAAGATGCCCTCAATAGGAAAAACAAGTAGACAACTGTGTCCACACTTGCCCCATCCCTGGCAGTGTTCAAGACCAGGTTGGATGAGGCTTGGAGCAAGCTTCCCTAGTGGAAGGTGTCCCTGCCTGTGGCAGGGGGTTGGAACTGGATGAGCTTTAATGTCCCTTCCAACACAAACCAGTCTGGGATTCTGTGATTCCACGTAGTGGAATTCCACGTAGAATTCCAGGCCTTGTTCAGAGGCTTTGTTTAGGGATAAACGAAGAATTGGGCTGAGCATTGCCAAGTGGAGCAGTTTGTCTGCTCCTAATAACATGTAGGAGCTCCAGGGCTTTGCTGCAGCTTTCATAGGTGTTTAATGAGGCACAGAGTAAGATGATTAATATTTTTAAATTTGTCTACAATAAAAGAAATAAAAGGGTTATTTTTCCTCCTGATAGTTATGACTGATTCACAGTTTGCTTTAATATGGTTTAGATGGGGTGCTGTGCTGAAGGAATTAAATCCTGGCTTCCTCCCAGGCAGTATCAGTGCATCAGTAGTCTACTGGCATAGAGAGCTCAGGGGCTAGAGTCAAGAATTCACTGTTTTGAAACACTTCTAATGCAAAGTTCAGCTAACATAAAGTTCCAGCAGTCACTCAGTGAGTGTGTGTCCCCTGGCATGGGGCAAAGTGGGTCACCTGTCCCTTCACTGCCTCAGTGAGATGAAAAGCGCTGCCATCAAAACCAGGCTGGGCACCGCAGCCTTTCACACTGTGTAGTCCTTGCCACATCCTAGAAGTGGCTTACATGACTCCTGAGTAGTTACTCGTTCAAAGTTACTTCTGTTTCGGAGAGCTTAAGTAAGGTCATAGTGGCAAGATGCTGCGTGACACAACAGTAAATACATGTGCAAACTCAACGTGTTCATCACAGAGCAAAAACCTTCTGAAACCGAGTCCTGCTGGGCAGCAAACGTGTTTCCGTTGGGCACCTTGCACTGGACACGAATGCCTGATGCTCCTGAGCAAAATCAGTTTATTCCATTATTACTGACTTTGGCTTTGGCAGAGCTCTCAGTGATGGGGTCTGGATGCAGCATCAACAGCCCAGAGCGTATCAGCTGAGCCTGTCAGCTGGTGCCATGGGACTTGGCCAGAACTGGGGAAGTTATTTCAGAGCAGCTCAGGATAATTGCTTTAGGGGGGAGAACAGAGAGGGAGGGAGGGAGGACAACTGAGCTGATACCAAACCTATTATAATCTTAAGCAGTAACTTGATTATAGAGTCTCTGGGAGCATTTTAAGGCAGTGCTTGGCAGTACTCTGTTAATATTCTGAGATGCGACCTGACACCAGAGTCATCCCATCATTAAATCCCCTCTGATTTGAATGTGCTTCCCTGAATGCTGACTCCAGTGTCATTATCGCAGTCAATCTTTCTGTCTCTCACTACAGCAATTGTTGTGACTTTCAGCAGCATAAAATGCTTAAAGCTCAGAATGGTTAGTCCAGTGCAACAGTCGTGCCAGGCCCAGAGTATCAAATTCATCTTCACTAAACTCTTGACACTGACACTCCGTGGGGTGTAGTGTTGGCAAATTTTAAACTCCACAGAGAAATGAATGCAAGATAAATAAACAGCAAGGGTTTGGGCAGAAATCATAAATGCAGCCACCCTGCTTTAGAAAACATGCTAAGCTTTGAACAGTTTTGTTTTAGGAAAGAAAGGCTGTTTGAAAACAATCCAGGGTAAATGTTTTCGGTACAGATACACAATTAACAAGGGTGACTTTATCTCCCCTATTAAACCAGCACTCCCTTCTGACCTCTCCTGGACTATTCTATAGGCTTTTGAGGCTTGTTTGTAAAAGTTAGCAGTGCACAAGTGCCAAGGGGTGTCATGTTCCCAAGTGGGAGGGCATCAGGATGCTCTGCTGCTACATTAAAAGTATTATTTGGGCCAAGGATAGTCTGTAAGATTAAAAAGCAAAAAAGCAGCTGGTCAGATAGCTATCTCAGCTGGACCTGAACCGCTCATTGAAGGCTGTGGCCAAGAAAAAGCACACCTCTGTGTGTTCAGTGGGACTTGGGGTCCTGGGAATAAGGAGATAACAAACCCCGCTTGCTGCAGGCTTTGCTTTTCTAGCAGAGCTCTGTTAAGGTGGTCCTTCATGGTGTGGCTGGCACAGAATGTATCAAGTCTCTTGCAATGAATGGAATCCCTGTGGAAGTGAGAGCCCCAGCTGTGTGGGTCAGGCAGGGGTGCTCTGAGCCAGCTGAGCTGTGGTTCTTCACATTCATCCCAGTGGGCTGAGAGCAGTGCAGGAGGTTTTCCTGGAAGTCTCGAAAAAACAAGCTGTTATGGAATTCCTGTGTTTCTACACCTGGCTGGATGCTGGTTTTCAGCAGAAAGCCTGGAATGGGAAGAGACAACCTTCCTCTGCCAACTATTTATCCAAACAGGAGAGATGCAGTAGGGAGAC